CTTTTCTTTTCTTTTCTTTTTTCTCCTTTCCTCCTTTCCTTTCCTTTCCTTTCCTTTCCTTTCCTTTCCTTTCCTTTCCTTTCCTTTCCTTTCCTTTCCTTTCCTTTCCTTTCCTTTCCTTTCCTTTCCTTTCCTTTCCTTTCCTTTCCTTTCCTTTCCTTTCCTTTCCTTTCCTTTCCTTTCCTTTCCTTTCCTTTCCTTTCCTTTCCTTTCCTTTCCTTTCCTTTCCTTTCCTTTCCTTTCCTTTCCTTTCCTTTCCTTTCCTTTCCTTTCCTTTCCTTTCCTTTCCTTTCCTTTCCTTTCCTTTCCTTTCCTTTCCTTTCCTTTCCTTTCCTTTCCTTTCCTTTCCTTTCCTTTCCTTTCCTTTCCTTTCCTTTCCTTTCCTTTCCTTTCCTTTCCTTTCCTTTCCTTTCCTTTCCTTTCCTTTCCTTTCCTTTCCTTTCCTTTCTTTTTCTCTTCACTTTACAAAATGCAGCCCCTCTGGCTCTCTTTGAAGCATAAGTTGCTTCTATTTTATATCTTTCCTGTCAACTTTAGCACACTGCTACTCTTTCTCCCCTTCACAAAAGAAAACACTAGGGAAATAGGAACTAATGATCAAAGAAAAGTATGGCATAAAACATTGGAATATACTTAAAGCTTCTATAAAAAGCTGTCTGAAAAATATTAAGTATTTACTGGGTTTGGTTGTTCGGGTTTTTTTGATGAAATTAAATTTTAAGGATCGTATTTTAAAAACTAAAATCTGATCATGGAGAACTGACAGATTGTGAAATGCTGCACGGGATAGGAGTATATCCTGACAAGAATTAGTGAAACACTGGGGAATGCTAGTGCTTAGTTCACATTGTGTAAGCATTTTGTAATGTATCTGTAAGAAGTTTTGTCAGTATTAAAGCATGTAAGCCTGCTTTTTAGAGAATTAGAAGGGAACATAGTGAGAAGAGTTTGTTCATGGCTGTGGAATTCAGTTTCACTGTTTCCAGATCTCAGTTGTGCTGTTTGTTTTCATATTGAGTTCCACCTCATGTTCTGTGAATTCTCCACACATGTTGCTGGTTAAATAATGAAAGCATTTGTGAACTTGCTTTTTGGTTTGAAGACAGGTTTTGAGGTGCATGTGTTTTACAGTCTGTTGGCTACTCAACCAATGGGGAAGTCTGGCTTTATCATGAAAAGTAAATGTTCATGGCTCCATACTATACTTTTTGCATTGAAGGAAGGGCAGGCTGACCCAGGCCTGTCTTACTGGTATTATCAGTATAAGTGGGTTTGCACAGGCTGTGGATTTATTATTATTTTAAAATTCTCTATCTACATAAGTTCTCATACATAGCATGAAAAGACCTTTACAGAGGTAACAAGGAACTAACCCTCTTCCTTTCTTCTCTCTGTAGTTTGTTGCTCAGCCCAACTGCCAGCAGCTTCTTGCATCCCGCTGGTACGACGAGTTCCCTGGATGGCGGAGGCGACATTGGGCTGTGAAGATGTTGACATGTGTTGTGATAGGACTCCTTTTCCCGGTCTTCTCTGTGTGCTACCTGATAGCTCCCAAAAGCCCACTAGGGCTGTTCATCAGAAAGCCATTTATCAAATTTATCTGCCATACTGCATCGTACTTGACTTTCCTGTTCCTGCTATTGCTTGCCTCTCAGCACATCGACAGGTCAGACCTGAGCATGCAGGGACCACCACCAACCATCGTCGAGTGGATGATATTACCGTGGGTCCTGGGTAAATGTATTACTAAAGAAAATACAGTGAAAAGTGTTTTGAACCCTGTGGTTTTGCCAAGCATTCCTGACGCAGGATACTGTAGGGTTCTGTCACGAATTACAGACCTACCAAAGCAGGCGAATGGTCCTTCTCCTCCAGTACTTAGCAAGAGTAATAGACAAGCAGTAGAGTTTAAAAATCCAAAGTGTCACCGTCTGATACATTACACTGAGGGAAAACAAAAGATGTTGGGGGTTGCTTCCTGTGATTAAGCAGTGGCCTTTTAACAGCTATTTTCTCCAGATCAGAAATGGTTCTCATTCTTGTAATGGTCCATTTTTAAAATTTGTTAGTATACTTTTAAAAAACTTTGCCACAATGATTACTTTTCATGTATTGGAATGAGGCATAATGTAATTTCTGAAGTGTTATTACTAACCTTAGTTGCCTACAGTATGCTTTTTTCTAATATGACAGACCCACCTATTGCAAATAGTGCTGACCAGCATTTTCAAGTGAGTGTTTTCATTAAAATATGCATGCAGAGTATTTTATTCTGAATTTGTCACTCAGCTTCATACAAAGCATTCTACATCTGAAGGAATAAGAAGATTCCTTAGCATTTTTAAAATGAGGGAAATATTGCCACTCTTGTTACTCAGTTTAGAATAAAAATTTCAGTCTGGGATTATTGAAAGCCTATTTTGTGGGGGCCATGTCATCCTTAAATGTCATCCTGTGTGATTCTTCCCTCATATGTTCTTGTGATCCTAGGACTGTCCTAGGTCCTCCCTACCTTGGCCTGTCTATCCTTCTAGATGGTAATCTCTCTTGGTGTGCTGTGGTCTCTTCCCTGATTCTTATTTTAAGAGTCAATGCAAGGTGGATGAAATTAAATTATAGAAGGAAAGACTTAGTAGTCTTAACTGCAAGAATTTAGGTTTGATATTTTCATTAAAGTTGTCATCACATAGTCAGGTTCATGCACAAACTGTTCTGAAATTTTGGTGGCATTTTGATGCTGTTACTTCTCCCAGAGATTCCCATTAAGGTACTGTGTCTCTAAACTTTTTCACAAACATCTGGGCTAATTTAGAGCAATGAAATTGGCCAGGCTTTTGGCATGATTGATCCTATATAATTTACAGTGCTGTGTTGAATTTGCATGATATTCCAGACAACAATGAATCAGTGGCTTTTCCTCTCTATGTTCCTTGGTAGAACACTGTGGGAGGCAGGAGGCAGGTCTACATATGTCTTTCACTTAGGAAAACAAGTATGCATGACTGAAACCCCTTTGTACACTTACTTGTTGGGAGCCTGTCAGAAGGACCTGCCTTCCACAAGTGACCTGCGTTCTGAGGTTACCCCCATGATAGCACAGCAGTCCTTACCACCAACCTTCACTGTAAGGTGTGCTGTCCCTCACTGGGTAAATATTTCTACTACATTAAAGAGCCAATTTACAGAATTATTGCAAAGGAATTAAACAATGTGGCAGGCTGCTGGGACTGCCATTTCTTATAGTCAAGTCAGGCTATCTTCAGTAGGTGAGTTTCACATTTAAATATTTAAAGAGAATTCCTCCAGTGAATTTTCAGAGTTCTGTACCATCAAGAAATAAGAAACCAATAAAAAATATTTATCATGATACATTTTTCCTTAGAAATAAATGCTACAATGCTGAGGAGGAGTAGGGGGCTCTTCTGTGCTGTGCCATGCCCAGAGGAGATACTATAGTTCTTCTCTCTGGCCTTCCAAAACAGCAGGTGGTCAGTATCTATTTAGCTTTCACAGTATCCTGAAGTCAGAAGATAATAAGAACAAATGCATAGCTGAGACATAGCCCTTCACATAATCACAGAATATTCAGATTTCAAAGGGACCCACGAGGATCATTGAGTCGAACTCTTGGCCCTGAACAGGACATTCTCCTTGACTCAAAGTGTAAATACATGCCAAAATACACACCAAAGTGTATTTTATCATCAATGTGTTTCTTTCTTAAAGAAAGAAATTAGAGCCCAGAGGAAAAGGTGAGAAGGGTAAAGGCTAGTTTCTTGCAGAGGCAATTCTAAAATTTTGATTACTAGCTCCTCTCCAGAAGACATGCAGTGGGAAGAGGAAGAACCTCTATATCCCTCAACCTCTCACTCAGCTGTTTACTTACAAAGGGGTTTAGGTAACAGCATGCCAAAGCACTTGTTTGAAGAAGCCATTAATCCAGAGAATTATGGCTATCAGGATGATTGTAATTTCTAAAGGCAACATTAATAGTTGCTGTATAGACTGATACTGCCAGACTACGCTGGTACTGCCTGTGCTGAACTAATCCTTCATCTGCAAGCAGTACAGGTCAAGTCAAGGGAACTGCTTGCATAAACAAAAATTCATGAGCATGGGTAAAGATCAGTAGTCAGATAACGTGGTTAAATAGCTTGTGGTTACTGTAGACTGTGATGTTCAGAGAAACTGTCTTCCAAAATCTCTTGCATCTAAAATGATGTATTTTACACACTGATCTCTAGTGTTTCCTAACTGATGGGTTCCTGTAGTTCCAGCTTCACATTTGCCAAGTTCATCTTTCAGATTTTGGTTGCTGCACTGCCTTAGCCTGCCCAAGTAATAAGGGCTGAGATTCACCCATCATAATCAGGTAATTCATAAAGCACCTAATTTTCTCCTATCATTGAAGGAGACAGACACACACCTCCATAGGGCATTTCAGCTCACAGCATGTGATGGATGTGACTATTTCAGCATTTTTGGTCTGTTGGTTGGTTATTTTTCTTTTTGGGGAGTTTTGGTGCATTTTTTTTTGTTGTTGTTTGGAGGTTTTTTTAAGGAATTAATCTCAGCCAAAACCCAGTGTTTTCCTATTCACATACATACAAACTGTGGTCTGGTCATCTTTTATTAAGCTTAATATTTTTCTCAAGTCCTGTGAATAAGCTAGTTTCCAGGCCACAATTTAGTCTGTTGTCTCATCTTTTCAAACCATGCAGTTATGCAGTATCCTTAAAAAGAGTAAATGCAGCACTCTTCTGTTACACAAGGGAGACTAAATATGAGATACATTAGGATATTTTTGCATTTTCTGGATGTTGACAAAAAATTTTGTCATTTGAGACAAAACTAATGTGGCTCTAGGGTCATAGTTCTTCTCTGAAACTGGAAACATGACTAAGTAAATACTTTTCCCAAAGCAAAGGTTTTCCTGGAGCAACAACAGCATGTCAAAACTATTAACATTTTGAACAATAGAATTCTTTGTTTTTCCCTTAATTCAAAATGCTCTGCGTGTAGTTTGCATTTTAATAGCTACCTCTTAAAGAGGAAGAGGAGCTCTATGTTGCAGTCTTCCCATCAACATGAATTTCATCAGACAAATATTTTATAGAACTTCAGAATCTTGTTTCAAGGTTGTCCATAACAATCTAAGCTCTCCAACAATCAAATAGTAATCAGCATTTGCCTACTACTACCTAATAGAAGGCTGAATGTGCATAATTAGCACATATTAAAAGTGTCACTAGGGGAGAAGGCTCAGAGAAAAAACCTTTATTGGGTACATTTCCATGGAGACTATTGACATTTTTACTATTTACATTTAAAAAGTCTCTTAAGGAAATTTCTACATTAATTTTGTCTTTTGCATGATTAGATGATTACAGAAGAGGTGCTATAGTATGTGGTGATTATCTGTGGAACAATTTGTCAGTGTAACAAGGCTGTTATAACTGTAAGAAGTAGCTGTGGAAAAATCAGTAAGAAGAGTTGGAATCTCCTGTCCTTGCATTTAAACAAATAAGAAACAAGCTTTGACTTGTAATGAAAATTAATTTTGTTCTTCTTATTAGCTGTTGATTCAGATCTTCCAAGCATGCCACATGCTTTACACTACAGAAACATAGGTCTGTTTGCTATACTTCAGAATCCATCACCACTGAAAAAGGACAGGAAAAACAAGAATACCATCTTGGGAAAAAAGCAAGAAAGAACAATATTTTCCATCATCACCTTCCCCATCTAGTTGCTGAGTAGCCTCTGAGCATGATAGCAGTGATGCAAAGGGGAAATCAAATAAGACCCATCCTCACCCTCTGTGTGCCTTGACTGCAGCTCACATAAGGATGATTTTGATCCCTGTAGACTCATCACACATGTTCTTCTGCCCTAAACTACAGCCTCAAACCTAGCAGTGACTGCTCTAAATGTCCTCACAGTGAGCATTTGTGTCACCAGAGAATGCTTCAAAATTAAGAGGAGAAGCCATCAAGCAGACAAACTTTGTGCTCAGTAGTTGTGGTTAACAAGCTCCCTGCCACTTGTTTGGGGTGGCTGCAGCAAAGAGAACATTGTTTTGATGAGTTTTTTGCTCTTTTATGGGCATATCTAATGTTCGTTGTATT